TATACGAACCTCCAAAGTATAAACAAGGGGCCGGTTGATGCAGTAATTATCAAATAACACTTAAACTCTTATATACCCGTTGAATATGTATAGTTGTAAACAAATAAAAACTATCGTTCTATAAGGGTTCAATACTTTCAGTTTGGTTGTTGACTGATGATGAATCTATAGTATAGACTTGCATGCTTTGTATTTTGAGCTTATTAAACCACCGTTTTAAGGCAGCTAAACGGCTAAACGGGCTTGGTTTATATTAACACATAAAATAAATTCGTTGATTCTCATCACTAGACACAGTCTACACTTTGAAATGTCGAAGACAGTGGGAGATTTATTTTTTATATTTTATATTTATATAATTTATATATCAATAGTTCGTATCTCCACAAACAATGACAGAATGACTGAGTTTCTTTAAAATACAATGAAATTTCATTCAAAATTCTGTTTGTTTGAAATTGGAAGTTTAAATTGGCACTAAAAACCCTATATAAAATATAAAAAAATTAACTGTCTTGAATTATTTTGTCGGGCGGTACATTTATATTGTATAACGAAAAATAAAACGTTTTCACGAGGATTTTAAAATTCAGTCGGGCGGTGATGAGAATAAAGGAATTTATTTTATGTTGGGCAGTTGGGACTTGGGAGCAGCTTGGGAGTGGCTAATTTTGAATATTTACTTAATTAATGCATCTATAAATAGCGTTGATGCTTCAGGGGCGGTAGTTCATTTACATCCAGTTTTGCGGCAGGCGGTATTTCCTACGTACCGCCTGCCATGCAGGCTATACGTAGACAGGCTATAGGGTTCAACTAATACGCAGGTAATATACCAGAAACATTTGAGTATGCTAAGTTTCAAAATTCAAAGAACACTATATATCAATAGTATAAACAAACAAGACAAAAATCCTATTGCATAGTGAGTCCGCTCCTTAACTGGTGGTCATTTTGACTTGAGCCCGCGATCCATTGCAGGCCAGTGACTCACTTCATGAACGTAGGTCGAATTCACGTTGATGAAAAAACCCCGAAGAATTTTCGCACAGAAAATTAGGGAACCTTAACACTGGGCCTTACGGCCAGTGTAATTATTATGGCGTGTGCCAGGGGAACGCAGGCGAGAGATGGTGCAAGGAAGGAATATAGGAAACATTCAAGCAGGGAAGAGAGGCAGCATGGCCCAGCTGAGAGGATGTGCAAGAGAGAGAAGATTGTGCTAGCGAGATAAGTTGCAATGAAAGGGATAGGGAATGGTGCAGGGAGAGAGGGTACAAAGAAGGGAAATGGAAGGAATGGGGCAGGCAAAAGGGGCACAGAGAATGGATAATTTATGACGTTCTTACCTCGTATGCGACAGGTAGTAAAATTCTTTGAAAGACAGCGATATAATCTGCGTCGTTCATGTGCGTCTTGAGAAAAGTTAAGGAGAGTAGTATAGGGCCTGCAATATGAACGATGACATGGGTTCATGCATAAATGTACTATATAGTGCAATAATAAATAACATTCATTCTCTTGCAACAACATTTGCGTCAATGTCGCGAACGCTTTTATGTTTCCGACGTTTACACAGCGGTTCTAGACGTGATTGTCTGGATGATAATCACATATGATAAATTTTGTTTTTTTATTTTAAAGTATAATACCTTATTCCAAGCCACATTTATATTGAAACCTTCTCCTTCCTCTTTTCCGACAAAATCAAAATCGGAATATTTTTTCTCTGGCCAGAAACGTCCATGATCATATCGATGTATTGAGAAATACAGCACACTGAAATATACAACAAAATAACATAGTAGTATTGGTGTATATATATCGCTGTAGTGTATCTTGGTTTTTATCACTTTTATTACTCACATGATCCTTTAGCTATATGTGCCAAGAGAAGTCGATAAAAATTAAATACACATGGCCCAAGATGATTTGGCCATGCGTAACTGGCCGTTTTAACAAGACGCGGGCAGCGAAAAATTAGGGAGCGCCTCAATCCCTTAAAACAGTGACAACCACCTGCTATGCAGGCACATCACATTTTTTGTCAAGAAACTTGTATTCTATTATACTTAGAAAGGTAACACAGCATTCGTGTCACACTACCTTATGCAACCAATAGTAGCGGGATGATATATTTTGTTTTACATATGTGAAACACAAACTCATATATAGTATACCAACATTTAACTGGTCAATACCTAGGATCAGATTGAAACGCATGTTGTGTACCATTGCCATGGTGGATATCCCAGTCAACAATTAGCACCCTAAGAACAAGACGTCAGGTAATCACATCCGTCACATCCGCCAGGAGGTTAATATGTTTTCACTTCGGTTTGTTGTGTGATTGTGTGTGTATGCATATATATGTTTCTTTTGGCAGCAGGATAACTAAAAAACTTGACTTTGCTGGTTTAGGTATGCAGTGCCTTCGTGTCACTATACACTGTTAACCTGACATGCTGCCAGTTGAGCTAATGAAACTCAATGAGTCCCATTAGCTCTACAGTATGGCAGAACGGTCAAGCTAGTAATTTTGAAATTACGCTTTCAAACTCTGTGGGGGAATGGAGATTTAACAGACAAATTACTAACTATCAACTGAGTTGCAAACAAAGTAAAACATGGCAAAATACACAAGCATATTGTAACTAGGATATTACTTATAACATTATATACTTGCCGTTTAATATTCCACTTCTTTTGTGCAATCTTGGCAGCAATAGCCACGTTATTAAAGTAGCAATATCCCATACTAAAATCATGCTCTGCATGATGACCTGGTGGCCTAAAAAGTGAACACAATGAAATACTTGAAGAAAATGACTATTTATCTGGTATATACTGTATATCTTACGTATACATACACTGTTTTCTAGTTTATTTAATTTACTGGAGACTTACAGTCTGTATATACATTGCAACTACGCTCGTGGTGTTTTACATAATTAAATAACCGCTAAAATAACACAGGAGAAAACAGAATAATGGGCTTAACAATTGAAACTTTGAAAGCCACTCCATTCTATAGACCCGCGGCTGAGTTTTCAGTAGAATTTTGAGGGGGGGGGGGTGTTGAATTTTAACAAACCTCGTTAGTTAGCTACCTTGAGATTGAGCAACGACATAAAGGGCATGACAACTGACAACATAGCAGGGATTAAAGTTAACTCGTAGAGCTTTAGAACGGTTCACATTCTTGCTCGTTGGACATGTCATTACGTACCTTGTTATCGCAACACCATTTCGAGACTAGCCATAAAAAAGAAACAAAAGTAAGATGCATGTTTTTGGACCAGAAAATGAAAGCAATTCGACCTGAAAATGAATAAACTCACGTTTTCTGCCATGACGTCATCGAGTACAGCAAGTGTGCAGCCAACCGCCATTCTAGCACATTCATTAGTGAACTGCAAAGCAAAGATAAATTAGATAATATACCTGTAGTCAGGTCGCTAATCGCACAATTTTCCCATGATCATGACAAAAGTAACAAAAGCGGGAAAATTTGACATGCACAGAGCTAATTCCTTGGCACCTGTGTTTATCAATAGAGGGGACTTTGCAGGTACAGGTATGCACAAATTTAATGCAATCCATTTCCAAGGAGTTTTTGTGTTTTACCTATATATTTCCTAAGAGTAAAATGAGTTATTGCATTTTTATGTCCATACCTTGCTAAAGTAGATAGAGTCATAATCCTCTGCCTTTGATTTTAGCTGTTCTTCATCACAATTATCTAATTTTCTTATTTTTTCAATGTACTCGTCCCTGAAAAATTGATTGGGCAATTAACGCATGTCCAATTTATGCATGAACACTTAATGACTTTCGGTGGCGAAATTCAATAAAGGTTGTCCTTTGAAACCTTAAACTCTAAACCCTTAAACCTTAAACTCTAAGCGCGCAAAGCATAATGGGAGCACGATTTCAGCAGTTTACAAAGCATATATGGAACCCATTTCTTGGAGACATGATAAATATCTCCCTGCAAAAACATTTCATTGACAAACAGCTGCAATAATCAACTACTAAGCTTGAATCAGTGCTCCCATCATGCTTTGCGCGCTTAGAGTTTAAGGTTTAAGGTTTTAAAGTTTAAGGTTTGCAAAGCTGACAACCTTTATTGAATTAGCTGTATATATATATATATATATATATATATATATATATATATATATATATATATATATATATATATATATATATATATATATATATATATATATAGTATATATATATATTATATATATATATATATATATATATATATATATATATATATA